GGGGGTTTTGGGGCAGCTCTTGGACGTGTTCGCGATGATGATGGTCGTGGACCGTCTGCTGGCGCTGCAGAGCCCTTCGTTGGTACCTATGGATGGGCTCGAGCATCTCAGGACACGAAAAGTTCTCGACCTCGAATGCCCGCACGCTGCCCGAGAAACTGTGTTGCGACACCGTCGGCGCCGGGGCTGCGCAGGCTCTGAGATCGTGGGAAAAGTGTGTCCTGAAGGTTTCGAGCCCCCCGCGGGTACCCATAGGGCGCCTCCAACCTCTAAGGACAAGAAAATATCGCACACTCGACTCACACCGCCGCCCTCTCGTCCCGCCGCCGAACAACCGTCGCGCTCGCGAGCCAACGCAATGATCTCAGCAGCCCAAATTCGCTGCCCCGCCCCGTCGAAGGGTTCCGCAGCCGCGCCGCGCCGCGCGACCCGCCATCGTTGCACTCAGCCCGCGCGCTGCGGCGTGGAAGAAGAAAGAAAACGCTAGCGGCGGCCCCGAGTAGTACGAGGACCTCGCGTTTCGCCTGCCACCCCATCTAGATTTATATCCCCTTGGCCTTCGTGCTTTTTCAGTGCAACAACGGGTTCAACCGGTGCCGGCAGCCCAATTATGACGATGATCGCGGCCTGGCTCCTCGCCTCATTCGCGTATGCAGAAAACCCGCTCGTGCCCGTCTTCGATAATACGTGCTCAACGCAGCGTGCTCCGGGGTTTTGCGCACGTTCAGCTGTTTCATAGGTGTTGGGACAACGACCCGGCGACGCCCTGCCCGGCGTCGCCGGCGGCGAACGCCCGCTACACGGCCCTGGCCATGCTCGGCGGCAAGCCGGCGCCCCCGGGCGTGGCGCCCGACAGCGCCTGCGTCCTCGCCGAGCGGCCGAAGAAGGACGGCGGGTCGAACACGTCCAAATGCCTCGAGGCGCTGCGCTGGCGCAAGAAGCTCGACGAGGAGGAGCTCAAGGGCGTCACGTGCGAGAAGACGGCGTTCCTCGCGCACACGTGGTGGGACGGGCCCATGGTGCGCGTCGTCGCCATGTTCCTGCGGAGCTTCCGGGCGACGCAGCACGCCCAGTGCGCCAAGCTCGTCGTCTGGACGCCCGGCGACGGCACGGAGCGGTCCACGGAGCGCGGCCGCGCTTTGGTCGAACAGGTCGAGGCAATGTCCGGCGCGCCCGTCGTCTTCCAGACGCTCCACATGGAGGCCGCGGCCGGTGTCCCGCGGCGGCGACGATTTTCGAGAGATGTCGACCGGGAAACCGTCACCGACGCGCCCGGTAGGCCATGGCCAAGGGCACGCTCTTCGAGGAGTACGTGACCAACGCCGTCCTCGCCCACGACTGGAGCACGACGAAGCCGGGGGACAAGAAGGAGGGCACGCGCCACTTCAGCGACTTCTTCCAGCTCTTCGTGCTCTGGCGCTACGGCGGCGTCTACTTCGACGCGGACCAGGTCCTGCTCCGCGACCTCTACCCGCTCTGGGGCCTGAACTTCGAGTACCAGTGGAGCTTCATCCCGGAGAAGTTCAACAACGCCGTCCAGGGTCTGGGGCGCGGCGAGGGCGAGGCCCTCATCCGCCACGGCGGCAAGCTCAAGGGCCTGGGCTGCTGCAAGGGCTGGGGCAACACGCTCTGGACGGCCAAGGTCGTCAAGGGCCTGGGCAACACCTACGGCCTGCCCTGCACGGCCTGGGACCCCTTCTGGCTCCGCATGGACGGCCACCACACGGGCGAGATGACGCGGCCGTCGCTGAATTTTCCCGAACCCGTGAACCGCAACTGGCTCTTCCAGGCGCAGTACGACGTCGTCAAGGACTGGTACGACGGCGCCTTCGGCATCCACTGGCACGGCGGCGCGGGCGGCGCGGGCGGCGGCGACGCGAACGCGTGGCTCCCGACGGTCAAGGACGGCTCCTACTTCGACCACTGGGAGCAGATCTACTCGTAAGGTTTAGGAGTAAGGTGATACAGGGAGGTTTAGAGGGGCTGCTGCAAGACTACGTGGTCCGAAGTTGCGCATGGATGCCACGGAGCACGCTCATAGCAATCTCGTTGCCCTTTTCGGCCGCGCGCAAAAGTAAGCGCATGGCCTCGTCGACATTCTTTTCCACGCCCTGTCCTCGACAATAAGCCATACCGAGAAAGACTTCTGCTTGCGTGAACCCCTGATCAGCTGCGAGCTTGTAGTAGGCGAATGCATCCCTGAAATTCCCTTCCGCCTCACACTCCATTCCAGCAGTGCACTGTGCCGGCGGGAAGCCTTGTTCCGCAGCCTTTCGAATGAGCTGCGTCGCCTTCTTCTGGTCCTTCTTGACTCCTTCTCCAGCAAGGTACTGCGCCGCTAAATTCGACATGGCGTTCGCGTTCCCGAGCTCTGCGGCGCGCTTGAGCAGCTTGGCCGCTTTCTTCATGGATGCAACGAGGCCGAACTCGCCGGTTTTGTACGCGTTCCCAAGATAAAGGAGAGCTTCCGGCAACTCGTTATCCACGTGGCGACGAAGTCGCGCCAGATCTTCCGCGTCGCTCTTCGACGCCGGTGCCCGACAAAGGGGGCACGGGTTGTATCCGACCTTGTCGTCGCACGCGCGGCAAATCTTCCGGCAACAACATTTACGAATGCGAGTCGTCGCATTTACGTCCCAGTCCTCGTAGCAGACCGGACATCGCCCCCCGTATCGTTCCCCGTGCATGGGTTTTGGCTCCGGGTTCGCCTCGCGGCGCACGCGAGCGGCCTCGTGTTCCGCCGCGATACGCGCGCGGACCTCGTCGGCGCCCGACCGCGGCGCGGGGCCGTAGAAGACTGGCTTCGGGGGCGCCTCGGCCCGCGTCGCCTCCGCGGCCCGCTCGTCCCGGATCTTTTTGCAGACCTTCTTGTGGCCCCGGTCGCGCCAATCGACGCGTTGACAGTCCGTCGAGCAATATTGCGTTGATCCACACGGACAGTTCAGCAAGGTCTTCGGCTTCGCCCCACAAACTGTGCACGTCAAACGGAGCTGTAGCGCTTTCGCCCGCGCCTTCTTCTCTTCGTATTCGCGCTGCTTCTCGACGTACTCGGCCTTCATGATCGTTTGCGGAGTGACGCGAGGGCTACGTGCGGGGGCGCAAGAGGGGCAAAATCGCTCAAAACCTTACCCCAGGCTAAATCCACCCCTAGAGCACCACACTCATGTCGTTCTCCATGCCCCCCTCGGCGTCGTCGTCGCCCTTGCGCCAGGCGAGCTTCGCGTTCAAGAACGCCAGGCACCAGACCGCGAAGGTCGGCGCGGAGAGGAACGCGGCGACGACGACGCCAAGGCCGAGCACGACGCGCCCGCGCGCGAGCGCAGCATCTCGGGCTCGGGCGACGACGCGGCGAAAAGACTTAGGCTATGGGACGCCGTGCCAGTTAGCCGCGGCACAGGGAGGACTCGAAGGGAGGGAGGGCAGGCGTAGGGAGAGCCACGGGAAGACGCGACGCCTGTTTGCTACGCACTTGTTAGTCCATCGAGAAGGTCTCGTCGCCGAACTCGAGGACGAACTTGATGGCCGCGGCGAGCTTCTCCGGGTCCTCGTAGAGCGGCAGGTCGATGCGGTTGAAGCACGTGTGCGCGCGCGGGAACGTCGCCGCGGAGAGCGCCACGCTCGTGAGCGTGAAGGGCCGGAGCGCGCCGTCGCGGCCCATGAGGTGGGAGAAGCCCTGGACGGGCACGCGGCCGTGGCCCGTCGTCCACTGCAGCAGCTGGCTCCGCGTCGCACCGTCCATGGCGCGCACCGCGTCCCAGAACCACCGGACGACGTCGTGGTCCGCGCCCTTTTCCGCGAAGTCGCCCCGGTACCTGTGTGGATTCCAAATCTTCAACCCGACTTCAATGTGCGCGTAATCGAACGGTTTGGACCAGACTCTTTCGCTGTGCTTCGAGAACTCGACGAGAGCAATCGATTCGTCCAAAAATCAGCCGAATCGACGTCGATTTGGCCGAGATAGAGAGTTCTGAAGTTTGGTTGGGACCCCCCAGCTCAGTGGTTGATTTCCACACAGCCCGGTACTGCGCGTGCGCCATCCAGCTGTCGACGTCCAACTCCGACGCGCCGCACAGCATGAGCTCGAGCTCCACGGCGGACACGAGCAGGAACGCCTCGAGGGGCACGACGGCGTAGACGCCCGCGAGGAAGGCCTCGATGCCCTCCTTCGACGTCTCGAAGAGCGCGTCCTTCAGCCGCAACCCGATGAACTCCTCCTTGTTCGCCTCCGTGACCGCCCTGGACGACCCGCCCTCCACGAGGTCGCGGCTCCGCACGGCCCCGAACGCCGACTCGTCGACGGAGAACGTGAGCTCCAGGCCGCCGACGTCGATGTCGCGCAGCTGCGACAGCGACTTCAGCAGCGTCTCGTCGAGCCACCCGAGGTCGACCAGGCTCAGCGGCTCGCCGCAGACGTGCTTCAACAAGCAGCGGTTCAGGTGCGCGTCGAGGTGCGCGCCGTCCAACAGCGCCTTGCCGACCAATTTCCCCGCGAAGTTGAGCCACCGCGCGCCGCCCTCGACGGCCGCGGCGACGGCCGCGTCGTCCTGGACCGTGTACGTCAGCGCGTCGCCCTCGGCGCACTTGAAGAGCCCGAAGTGCGTCGCGAAGATCGCCGACGTCGCCAGCCGCAGGCACTCGCGGCCGACGCCGCCCGCGTCGAGGCCGGGCTCGCCCGCGAACTTGAAGAAGAAGGGCCAGCGCCACTGGTCGTCGCGCAGGCCGCCGAGCGCGTCGAAGCAGTCCTGGAGGAGCGTCGGCCCCCGCGTCACGACGGGCGACACGCGGCCCGTCTGCCAGGGGATCCGCAGCGCCTCGAGCGTCGACCGCAGCGCGGCGACGCGCCGCGCGAAGGGCCACGACCCGGAATCCTCGAGGTCGAGGCGCGTCGCCGCGTCCGCGGCGCCGACGGCGCAGCCCACGCGCGCGTCGACGAGCTCGAGGCGCCCTCGGGCGTCGAAGCGCCGCACGAACTGGAGGCCGAGCGCGTCGTCGCGCGCCCACGACACCCAGCCCGCGCCCGCGGCGTCGTCCCAGGCGAAGGAGCGGCCGAGGCGCGCCTTGCGCGTCTTCCAGGAGAGCCGCGGCGAGTAGGGCGACGGCTCGTCGTCGAGCTTCACCTCCTCGGAGGCCGCGCTCTCGAGGTCCGGGGGGTCGCGGCGCTTCCGCGTGCGCCGTCGGCGCGCCAGCGCGACCGCGGCGGCGACCGCGACGGCGGCCGCGGCCGCGGCGGCGCCGACGACGACGGGGAGCGTCGAGGCGGAGGGCCGCGACGACCCGCCGCCGCCCGCCTCCTCGACGTCCCGGTCCTCTTCGACCTCGACGACGAAGTCGACGCGGCACGACCGCGCGGCGGCCTCCTGGAGGCGCCGCCGCGCGTCCGACGCGACGGGCGCGCCCACGGCCGCCGGCGGCACGTCGAGGACCGCGGCGACGGCGTCCGCGAAGCGCTCGGCGACGAAGGTCTTCCGGAACTCCTCCGCGGTCACGCCCTCGAGGACGACGACGAGGTCGACGCCGACGCCCGCGACGACGTACATGTCGGCCTCGGCGCAGTTGTCGAGGCCCCGGTCCGTGCCGCACTCGCCGTCGCCCTCGCAGAAATCGCCGGGCACGAGGCCGACGGCGTCGCAGGGCGCGATGTCGACCTCCTCGGGGCAGGCGTCGGCCTCGCGGATCGCGGGGCACGCGCGCGTCGGCTCCTCCGCTTCCTCCTCTTCCTCGTCGCCGTCCTCCTCCTCTTCTTCGTCCTCCGCTTCCTCCTCTTCCTCGTCGCCGTCCTCCTCCTCTTCTTCGTCGATGTCCTCCTCTTCTTCTTCGTCGACACTTTCTGCCTCGGCCGGCTGCGCGACGGGCGTCGGCGTCGCGCGGCTGGGCCGCGGTGTCGGGCGTCGCGTGGGCCGAGGCGTCGGGCGTCGGGTGGGCCGAGGCGTCGGGCCTCGCGTCGGGCTCGGCGTGGGCCGCCGCGTGGGATCCGGCTGCGCGACGGGCCGCGGTGTCGGGCGTCGCGTGGGCCGAGGCGACGGACGCTTTGTCGGCCGAGGCGAGGGTCGGCGAGTTGGCTTCGGGCTCGGCAGCGCCGTGGGCCGCACCGTGGGGTCCGGCTGCGCGACGGGCCGCGGCGTCGGCCGTTTTGTTGGTCGAGGCGACGGGCGCTTTGTCGGCCGAGGCGTGGGTCGGCGCGTCGGCTTCGCGCTCGGCCGCGCCGTGGGCCGCGCCGTGGGGTCCGGCTGCGCGACGGGCCGCGGAGTCGGCAGCGGCGACGGGCGCTTCGAGGGCCGCGGCGTCGGCCGAGGCGTCGGCCGCGGTTCCGGCGCCACGTAGCAGTCCCAGCTCGGATTGTCCGGGCACTCGCGGCGGCACTCGGCCGTGTCCGAGTCCTTCCAGAAGCACGAGTCCCTGGAATCGCAGCAGGGCATGTACGAGCCGCCGCCGGCGGAGCAGTCCTCGCCGCGCTCGACGCACGTGGGCACATAGCACTCGAACTTGTCGTCGTTGGGACAGTTCTTGTGGCATTCACCGTGGTCCTTGCCTGTGTGGAAATCAACCGCTGGTTTGGGGGTTCCCACCAACTTCAGAACTCTCTATCTCGGTCAAATCGAAGTCGATTCGGCTGATTTTTGGACGAATCGATAGCGAAAGAGTCTGGTCCAAACCGTTCGATTACGCGCACATTGAAGTCGGGATGAAGATTTGATTTCCACACGGCTCCTTGCCGTCGAGCCAGAAGCACGAATCGCTGCCGCAGCACGCCGTGTCGTCGTCGCAGCGCTCATCGCGCTCCGCGCACTCGGGCACGTAGCACTCGAAGCGGTCGTTCTCGGGGCACTTCTTGCCGCATTCGCCGTAGTCCTTGCCGTCGAGCCAGAAGCACGAATCGCTGCCGCAGCACGCCGTGTCGTCGTCGCAGCGCTCATCGCGCTCCGCGCACCGATCGCCGTCGTCGACGCTGATGCCGTAGTAGTAGTCGTAGTCGTAGTCGTCGTCCCAGAAGTCGTCGTCCCAATCCCAGCCGTCGTCGTCGTCGTCGTCGCGCCGCCCGCGTTGGAGGGCGCGCGAACCTGGCGGCACGCCCGCGACGAGGCTGCAGGAGACCGAGAGGGCCAAGAGCTTCACGAATTTCGTGTTCATGTTTCTGGCTGTTGTGCACTTGTCGACTTCGTCGGGTCCGCCTTCGAACCACACGGGAGAAAGACTATCGAGCACGGCGGACGCGAGCACGGCGGACGCGCTTGAAATGCAGGGCGATTTCCTCGAAGAATTGCCATAAAAATCTCCCGCCCGGGATAAAATCCCAGGAGGCCTCCCAGGCACGTCCTGTCGGATTCTTCGATCGAGCGCCCGCCACCCATCCACCCACCTCCTGACCAATCAGGGACCTCCTTTCGGTTAGTTGCCTTCAAGTTGCCGCTCGCAAAATCGCCACAACGCGCGCGCGATTCCGCGCGCGCGCTCGCGCTTGTCGCGGAGCTGCGCGGTCCAATCTCCCCTGTGCGATGCGAAAGGGCACCCGCGCCGCTCGATTCGCCGCGGCGAGAAGCGGCGCTTGCCCAGAGACGACGATAGCGGCGTAGGCGTCGGCGTGTGCCTTGGGCGGACGCGGGCACTGGGGGGCCCACTAAACTCTCGAGGAGTGCGCTCCTCCTCTCTCGCCTCGATGTGGCGAGTCGTCGTCGTCGCTCTATGCGGCGCGACGGCGTCGCCGCGACGCCTGCGAACACAAAGACGAACGACCGCGAGCGGCAGGGCGACCATCGAGGCCTGCGACGACACGATCTATTATACGGAGGTCACCCTCGGCGGCCAGGCCCTCCAGCTCGTCGTCGACACCGGCAGCAGCGACCTCTGGGTCGCGGGCAAGGACTGCAATGCCTGCACCCAGACGATCTACGACCGCGACGCGTCGCCGACGTACGCCTCCGACGGCGCGCGCGTCGAGATCGCGTACGCCGACGGCGACAGCGTCGTGGGCGTCGCCGCGCGCGACGCGCTCGGCTGGGGCGGCGTCGCGACGGCGAACCAGTCCTTCGTCGAGGTCGACGCGTCGAACTTTTGGATCTGCGGCGACGAGGACGGCGTCCTGGGCCTCGGGCCCTCCGCGGGCGCGTCGTCCGCCTTCGAGCGCATGGCCGCGGGCTGTGCCGAAACCAAATCTTCAACCCGACTTCAATGTGAGCGTATTCGAACGACTTGGACCAGACTCTTTCACTGTGCTTCGAGAACTCGACGAGAGCGATCGATCCGTCCAAAAATCAGCCGAATCGACTTTGATTTGACCGAGCTAGAGAATTCTCAAGTTTGGTGGGGACCCCCCAAACCAGTGGTTGGTTTCGGCACAGGCCGCGGGCCTCGTCGCGCCCGTGCTCGGCATCGCCCTGCGCGACGGCGGCGCGGGCGAGGTCAGCCTGGGGGGCGTGGACGCCGAGGCCTTCGTCGGGGACCTGACGTGGCTGCCCGTCGCCGACGGCGACGTCCCGCTCTGGAGCGCGACGCTGGACGCGGTCGTCTCCCGCGAGGCCGCGGCGCCCGGCGAGGCGCGCCTCGCCGGGGGCGTCGCGCTCTTCGACACGGGGACGACGTTCCTCGTCGCGCCGCCGAGCGACGCGCTGACGGTCATGGCCGCGGTCGGCGCGACGTGCTACGCCTACCTCGACGGCGGCACGTACGACATCGCGCCCTGCGGCGACCTCGAGGCCGACGCGCAGGTCGACATCGCCGTCGCGCCGTGCGACGCCGCCGCGTCAGACGCGGGCCTCGCCTTCGAGTTCGGCGGCGCGTCCTTCGACCTGCCCGCGGAGGCCTACGTGTCGGAGCAGGACTGCGGCGACGGCGAGTTCCTGGACTGCCGCGGGCTCTGCTGGCCCGACGAGTTCCTGGAATACGCGCGCGACGACAGCTGCGACGACGGGCGCCTGGGCCCGGACCTGTTCTGCGTCGAGCGGGGCTGCGACGGCGGCGCGTGCGCCGACGAGAAGGACGCCTGCGACCCGGGGGTGTCGGAGCCGCGGTGCTACGTCGACGTCGACCAGGGCAGGGAAGGGGAGTGGATCCTCGGCGACGCGCTCTTGAAGCGCTACTACTTCGCCGTGAACGTCCGCGACCGCACGATCGGCCTGGCGAAGAGCCGCGCGGCCTCCCCGGGGACCGCGGCCGCGCCGAGCCCCGCGCCGTCTTCCGCGCCGTCCGCGGCGCCGTCTTCCGCGCCCTCTTCCGCGCCGTCTTCCGCGCCGTCGCCGGCGCCGCGGAGGAAGAAGGGCGGCGCGCGGGCGACGAGCACGAACTCGCCGCTCGGCGCCTTCGTGTTCTTGCTGTTCCTGGCGTCCGTGTTCGCCGTGGTCTGCTCGATGTGCCGCATGGCGCGATCCGCGCCGCGGAACCGGGGCTACGAGTACAACGACCCCGACGACGACGAGTACCTCCAGGACCCGTCTTGGGCACGCACGCCGCGCATCATGAAGCGGGACAGCCCGGGCAGCGGCCGGCGCTTCTTCCCGCGCGTCGAGCTCCCGACGAGGCGCCGCCGGGCCGACGACGCGGACGCCGCGCCCGTCGTCGCGACGCGCGAGGAGACCGTCTCCGCGCTCCACGCGAGCCGCTCCGAGGCCGACATCTGGGGCGCGGCCCCGAACGTCGAGGAGCACATGTTCGAAGAGGTCGAATTATAATCACGCTCGGAGCACATGTTCGAAGAGGTCGAACTATAATCACGCTCGGAGCACATGTTCGAAGAGGTCGAATTAGAATCACGCTCGGAGCACATGTTCGAAGAGGTCGAATTATAATCACGCTCGTAACACGCGCGCGCGCCCGGCGGCGTCGTCCCGTGCCGGAGGCGCCGCGCCGCGGCGCGAGGCCGCGGAGCGCGCCCTCGACGCCGCGCGCGCGTCGTCCGCGGCTTCACACCCAGGAATTCGACGCGGTTTCCGCTGCCGTGGGCGCGTCCGGGTCGAATGCGTAGCCGGAGCCGGGTCGCGCCGGCGGCGGCGTCGGCGCGGTCGCGCTGGTCGGCTCGTCCTCGGACTGGCAGGTGCAGACCATCGTGTCAGGAACCGCGGGCAGGAAGGGCAGCAGCGAAAAGTGGTAGAACATGTCCATCGTCGCGCGGCGCCCGCGAAGCTGGTTCGCTTTGGCGCGCGCGAAGCTCTGTCTCCGCGGAGAGCCTCAGCCGCGCAACATCGGCAGCCCGAAACTGGTGCAATAATGCTTCACTTAGCCTTCATCGAGCCGCCCCCAGCCGTCGCGGAACGCGTCGGCGGCGTCGAGGACGGCGCGGTTCGGGACGAGGTCCGCCTGCTTCGCGGGCTCGCGCGTGAGGGGGCTCGTCGCGTGCTGGTCGATCCAGGCCGCGACGTCGCTGCGCTCGTAGGTCTGGCCGTCGACGAGGAGCAGCACGGGGTCCACGAAGAGCTCGAGGGAGAGCGGGCAGGTGAGGAAGTCGGGCGCGTCGTCGTCGAGGTCCCGGCTCCGCGCGGCGCGCCGGTCGTTGACGTGCTTGCGGATCTTCAGCGCCGCGCCCTTGCGCACGCCGAGGTCCGCGACGTCGCGGTCCCGGAGGAGGAAGAACCCCGCGGCGTCGACGCCCTCGGCGTCGAGGATGCGCCGCGTGCGGTCGTCCTTGCCGAGGCCCGCGGCGCGGAGCACGGCGCCGAGCGCGTCGTCGCCGTCGAAGCGCTCCGGCGCGGACGACGAGTCGGGCGACGAGCACTCGGCCGCGTCCGCGGCGGCGCCCGGCGCGTCCGCGTCGGGGCCCGCGTCGCTCGCCTCGGGCGTCGCCGCCGCGGCGGGCGGCGGCGCCGGCGGGTCGCCCGGCGGCGCCGACGCGCCCGCGGCCGGCGCCGCGGCCGGCGCCGCGATCGCCGCGTCCGGGGGCTTTCGCGCCTTCTTCTTCTTCCGCCTCGCCTTCCTGGACGCCTTCCCCTCCTCCTCGGCGGCGCAGTCCGCGAGGAGCGACGCCGCGGCCGCGTCCGCGTCGGCCTGCGCGCGCGCCGTCGCCGCGGGCGACACCGCGCCGTCGCCGTCGCGGCCGAGCTTCCGCCGCCGCCGCTCGTACGCCGCGTAGCGCGCCGCCGCCGCGTCCTGGATGATGTCCAGGTGCTCGAGGAGCGCGTCCTCGTCGACGTTCGTCGTCACGAAGCGCGCGTCGACGTCGCCCAGCGCCCGCAGCAGCGCGGGCCGCGCGATCGCCGACTTGGCCGCGAGGCGGAGCAGGTGCATCGCCGCGCGCCGCGCGTTCTCCGCGTTGCCCTCGCGCGACAGCAGAAAGTCCTTGCGGACGATGTCGAGCAGCCGCGGCACGCCGCCGTGGGCGCAGATGTCCGCGAGCCACGCGTTCTCGCCGCCGCGGCCCTCCGCGAAGATGAGCAGCGCGACCGTCGCCGCGTGGCGCAACAAAATGGGCACGTCGCGCGGCGGCGGCCGCTGCGATTTGCGCAGCGCCGCCTCGACCCGGTCCTCCTCGGCGACGCCCAGGTCCTCGATGGGCCGCGCGGACGCCAGCAGGTCCACGAGGCTCTTCGACGCGGCCTCGTCCTCCGTGCTCCCGACGTGCCCGCCGAGCCCCAGGTCGAAGAGCAGGTGGAAGGCGGGCCCCAGGGGCGCGCGCTCCCCGGCGACGAGCGTCGGCAGCAGCTCCAGGATCTTCTGGGCCGTCACGCCGAGCTCGTGGTCGAAGTGGACGCGGGGCCAGCCCGCGTCGCGCGCCTTCGAAATCGCGTAGACGCAGTCGAGCAGCACGAGGGACCGCGCGACGCAGGCCATGCGCGCCGCCGGGCCGACGCTCGCCGGCGCGAAGGGCGGCGGCGGCGTCCGCTCCGCGCCGTCGAAGAGCGGCAGCGCGACGGTCTGGAGCGCGACGGTCGCGTCGCGGCTGTCGAGCCTGGGCGGGAACAGAGTGATTCAACGTCGCTTCAACGTGAGTGTGTCGCGCGCGCGCGTTCCGGAAACGCATCCACGCTCCGAGACCGTTCCGAGAGATGATCGCTCGTCCAAAAATCAGCCAAATCGAGTGAACAACGACCGAGCTCGGAGCCTTTGACGTCGGGAACGTCGCGCCCTTGTCCCGCCCCGAGTCGAGCCAGGGCACGAGCTCGTTGACGTGGCCCCGCTCGATGTAGGCCTCGCGCGCCGCCAGCAGGATGCACACGAGCGCGTCGTGGGCCGCGCAGACGAGGGCCGCGCGCCGGTTCCGCGTCGCGCGTTTCTTCGCCTTGCCGTCGGACGCGACGACGCGGACGAGCGCGTCGAGCGCGCCGCCCTCGACGATGCGCTCGACCTTGTCCATGGGGAGGAACTCGGCCCGGTGGGTCAACAGGTCCTCGTAGGACTGGGGGCAGAGCCGCAGGCACGCGTCGCGCGCGGCGCGCTCGTCGTCGGGCCGCGCCGCGCGGACGTCGGCCGCGAGCGACAGCGCGACCACGTCGCGCTCGTAGACGTCCAGCTCGCCCGGGAGCGCGTCGAAGGCGACCTTCCAGGCCCGCGCCGCCGCCGGGCTCTCCGCGCCGAGGGACCGGCGCACGCGGCGGAGGCACGCGGCCGCGAGGGGGCGCGCGGCGTCGTCGCGCGCCCAGGCCGCCGTCGCCTTGGCGAGGCACTCCATGGCCTTCGTGCGGAACTGGGGCTCCTCCTCGGCGCCGCAGCAGACGAGGTCCGCGACGCGCGGCAGCAGCGCGCGCGCGGCCGACCGCGCGTAGACGTCGGACCGGGCCTGGGCGGGAAAAGAGAGATTCAACGTCGCTTCAACGTGAGTGTTCCGCGCGCGCGCGTTCCGGAAAAAGCATCCATGCTTCGAGAGCGTTCCGAGAGATGATCGCTCGTCCAAAAATCAGCCGAAGCGAGTGGAAACCGGCCGAGATAGGAGCCTTTGACGTTGGGCATGTCGCTCTCTTTTCCTGCCCTGGACCGCGCCAGCGCGGCGACGGCCTCGGCGCTCTGCGCGCGGCCCTCGCTCAGGTCCACGGCGAAGACGTCGATGGCCTCGAGGACGTCGCGGAAGAGGGCCCCGTCGGGCACCTTGCCCGGGTTCGACGCGGCCGCGACGACGAGGGGCACGAGCGCCGCGCGCGCGTGGCCCGCCAGGCACCCGCGCTCGATGCCCGCGACGTTGTCGCGGCTCCGGCTCGCGAAGTCCGCCGCGAGCTCCTGGAAGCGCGTCCAGTTCGACGGCTTCGACGACGACCCGCTCTGGTCGCGGAGCCTGCGTGGACATCAACCGCCGGTCGGACGTCCCGACCAAACTTTGAAATGCTCTCGCTCGGTCACATCGAAGTCGTTCTGGCTGATTTTTGGACGAATCGATCGCTCTCGTCGAGTTCTCGAAGCACGGTCGAAGCGTCTGGTCCACACCGTTCGATTACGCCCACATTGAAGTCGGGTTGCAGATTCGAGTTCCGCGCGGCCCGGAGCTGGAGCGCGATGTCGATGGCCGTCTGCGCGTCGCGCGTCGTCGCGACGGGCGCCGCGAAGGGCGCGAGGCGCCCGATGAGGCTCCGCGGCGCCTCCTCGAGCAGCCGCTCCGCGTCGAGGAACCAGGCCGCGTGGCCGCCGCGCGCGAGCAGGTCGAGGATCGCCGCCGCGTCGGGCACCCAGATCGTCCGCCGCCGCTCCGCGGCGTCCTCGGCGTCGGCGTCGGGGTCGCGCGGCGCGCCGTCGAGGAGCGCCTGGGCGGCCCAGCTCATCTGGCCCAGGTGGCGGCCCGCGAGCGCCGCGCGGCCCCGGCCGAGCAGCGTGCGGCCGAGGCGGCAGACCTGTGTGGAATTCAAATCTTCAACCCGACTTCAATGTGCGCATATGCGACAGTTTCGACGCACGCGCTTCGGCTGTGCTTCGAGAACTCGACGAGAGCAATCGATTTATCCAAAAATCAGCCGAATCGACTTCGATTTGATCGAGCTAGAGAATCCTGAAGTTTGGTCAGGACCACCCAAACCAGCGGTCGATTTCCACGCAGCGGCAGACGACGGACGTCACGGGCGCGTCGAGCTCCGGGAACGCGGCGCGCGCGAAGGCGCGGCACGCGGCCGTCGACTGGTCCCCGCCGTCGACGCAGTGCAGGTTCTCGAAGAGGGCGAGCACGGCGTCGAGCTGGCGCTCCGAAATGACCGCCGCGTCGCCGGAGAAGGCGTCGGACTTGGCCACGACGCGCGCGAGGGCCTCGCACGCGAAGATGCGCAGGAGGTGGCCGCCGCCGTAGGGCTCCGGCGGCACCTCGCACTCCGTGAGCACGCGCACGAGGCTCCCGACGAGGCCGTCGTCCACGAGGCGGCGCACGTCGCGCTCCGATTCCGCGGCGGCCGCGGCGGCCGCGGCGGCCGCGCAGTGGCGCCAGCGGACGACGCCCTCGCGCGCGTCCTCGCGGAGCGCGGCGCAGCACGCGGCGCCGTCGAGGCGCAGGAGGCCGTCCTCGCCGAGCACGCGCGCCGTCAGCCGGCCCAGCGCCTCGGGGTCGTCGGCGTAGCGCGGCGCCGCGTCGCTCGCCAGCGCGTTCCACAGCGCGGCGGCGCTCGCGGCGAGGTCGCGCTCCTCGCCCGTCGGCGGACCCGGGCGCTTGCCGAAGCCCGCGGGCTGGGCCTCGAACTCCGCCGGGTCCGCGAGCCAGACGCGGCAGGCCATGGCGCTTTCCGGCGGTGGTGGCGGTGGCTCCAGGCGAGGACGTTGATGGCCACGGTGGCGAGCGTGCAGGCGACGCCGAGCACCGTGAACTGCGTCGCGCGGAGATGACGGAGGCGGCTCAGCGGTGGCAGCCCATGTCGAGTTCGGCTCTCGTCGCCGGCCGGGCTGCCGCTCGTGTTGAGCTCGAGTGCACCCAAGCCGAAGGTGCAGAGTGGTGCAGCTCGCGCCACAAGACTCGCCGATCGCAAAGCCTCGTGAGCGCTCACCGTCCGCCTCGAGGGACCATGTTCGCCGCCTCGCTGCGCCGCGGCGCGAGCCTCGCCGGCGTCGCCCTGACCGTCTCGGCGACCGGCGTCGGCGCGTCGTCGAATTGCGACGGCGCTCTCTCAAAAAAGGAGTTCACGGCGCTCAAGGTCAAGCGCAACGTGAAGCTGAGCCCGAACGTGCACAAGGTCACCGTCGCGTTGCCGACGCCGACGGACACGCTCGGCATGACCGTCGCGGGCATGCTTATGGTCGAGGGCCCGAAGCGCGACGGGTCCGGCGTCGTCGCGCGGCCGTACACGCCCGTGACGCGCGACGACGTGACGGGCTACATGCAGCTGGTCGTCAAGGACTACGACGAGGGCAACGTGTCGTCGCACATCTGCTCGCGGAACCCCGGCGACGAGCTCAAGGTCAAGGGCTGCTTCACGAAGATCAAGGTCGAGGCCAACAAGTGGAAGCGCGTGGGCATGGTCGCCGGCGGTAGCGGTTTGACGCCGTGCCTGCAGGTCGTCGAGGAGCTGCTCTCCCTCGAGGACGACGTGACGCAGATCAACCTCCTCTTCTGCAACCGCAACGAGGACGAGATCTTCCTCCGCGAGCACCTCGACGGCCTCGCGGAGAGGTCCTGCGGCCGCTTCCACGTGCACTACTGCGTCGACGCGCCCATCTCGCCGAGCTGGAGCGGCCTCACGGGCTACGCGACGGACGCGATGCTCGCGACGTGGCTGCCGCCGCCGGGCGAGGGCACGATGATCATGGTCTGCGGGCCGCCGCCCATGTACACGGCCGTCTCCGGGCCCAAGCTCTTCGAGAAGGGCAAGCCGCCCAAGCAGGGCGAGCTCTCGGGCATCCTCAAGGACCTCGGCTTCACGGCGGACATGGTCTTCAAGTTCTAGAGTCTGAGAGGGGCGAATCCGCGCGCGCTAGGCCCGCGAGCCCACAACGACACTCACACACTTACCCCGTCACCACCGTGGGCGCGTAGTCCGGCCCGGCCGCGGGCGACGCCTGGCGCACGAGGATCTTCGTCCGCTGGAGCTGGCGCGCGAAGCGCGGGAGGACCGGCGCGCTCGTGAGGGCGATCGTCAGCGCGTGCTCGCCGTCCGGGATCTTGCCGAAGTTCAGCTTGAGGGTCACGGGCTCGACGGCGCCGCCGACCGTCGGCGGGATGGCGATGGTCCGGTGCACGTAGAGCTTCTCGCCGACCCAGACGTCGACGACGACGTCGCTGCCCGCGGCCGCGCGCGCGAGCCACTCGCTCAGGCTCCACTCGAGGGCCGTCGCCGCGGGCTCCTCGGGCGCGCAGGCCCGCGGCCGCAGGAACGCGGCGTCCGCGGCGGTGCCCAGGCCCAGAGCGTCGGACGGGGCCGGCGTCGGCGCCTCGGGCCGCGGCGGCGCGCCGTCGAGGGACCGCGGCGCGGCCGTCGGCGGCGCGCGCGCGCCGCGGGCCTCGGCGCGCGCGGCGCGGAGCGCGTCGTGCGACGCCGTCGGGAGCAGCGCGGGCGCCGCGGGCTCGCTCGAGTTCGCGTCGGCGACGGCGGGCTCGACCGCGACGGGCCGCCGCGGCGTCGGCGGCGTCGGCGCGCGGCGTCGCGCGACGGCGACCGCGGCCGCGAGCGCCGCGGCGGCGAGCAGGAGGAAGACGCCGGGCCGCCGGCGACGCGCGGCGACGTCCGGCGCCGCGGCGACGTCCCGCGCCGCCGCGCGCGCCGGCGCCGCCGCGCCGTCGTCGTCGTCGGGCCGCGCGGGCTCGGCCGCCGCGTCGTCGACGGGCGTGACGGCGCGCGGCGGCTCGTCGCGCGGCTTCGCCGCCGGGGCGTCGCGCAGGTCGCGCGGCCGCGGCCGCCAGACGGAGTCGTCAAAGTCGCCGCGGAGGGCCACGAACTGCCGCGGCGGCTCGCGCGGCGCGGCCGGCGCCGGCGCCCAGGCGTCCGGCGCCCGGCCGACGCGCTTCTTCGCCGCGAGCGACGCGAGGCCCGGCGGCGTCGTCAGCGTCGGGCCGTCCCGCTCGAGCCGCGGCGGCGTCGACGGCGTCGACGGCGGCGCGGGCGCGGCGGGCAGCCGCTTCGCGCGCTTCAAGATGATGATGGGCCCGTCGTCCGGGCGCGGCGGCGGGCGCCGGTGCAGCATGGGCGCCGCGCCGCCGACGGCCGGGCCCACGACGCGCTGCTGGTCGAGGGACTGGTCCAGGAGCGAATTGGAGATCGCGCGCGCCATGGCGTCGTCGTCGGCGTTGCGCTCGAGCTCGTGCTGCTGCTTCGACGCCGCGAGCACTTGCCGCAGGATCGCATCCTCGTCGGGCGCCGCCGGCGACGCCGTCATCGCAATGCCGTTCAAAATCGCCGCCCTTCGGACGTCGAGGCTGCCCGGCCGACGTTGCCGTCACCCTGTTGCTTCAGCATCGGATAAGGATGGGATGATCGGAGCTGCGCATGGCGGCCGAAGCTGCTACGCCGAACATCATCTGGACGTACTGGGCCGACGGCCGATCCATCCCAACCCTCGTGCAAGCATGCGTGCGACGCATGCAGGCCTTGCACGAGGACTGGAGCGTGCGCGCCGTCACGGCGGCGACGCTCGGCTCCGTCGTGCGCCGCGCGGACCTGCCGCCGAGCTTCGAGGTGCTGACCGCCGCGAAGCAGAGCGACTGGCTGCGGCTCTACCTCGTGTCGCGCTACGGAGGCGTCTGGCTCGACGCGTCGATCGTCGTCTTGAAGCCGCTCGACGCGATGCTCGGCGACGGCTTCGCCGGCTACCACATGGACGGCTGGGCCGCGCCCGGCCAGCCCAAGGTCGTCGAGTCGTGGTGCTTCGCGGCGCCGCCGGGCTCCCGCTTCGTGAACGCGTGGTTCGCGGAGTTCGACGGCGCGGTGCGAACCTTCGACGACCTGCCGGCGTACGCGCGCGCGGTCGCCGAGACGCTGGACCTGTCCCGCTTCCCGCCGGAGCAGCGAAGTCACCTCGCCGTCTACCTGAGCGCGCAGAGGGTGCTGCGCGACGGCGCCTACGACCTGCGCCTCCGCCGGTCGCAGGACGGCCCTTTTTTCCTCGCGTCGCGCCTCGCCGAGTGGCAGTCGGGGCTGCTGGCGGAGCTGCTGGCGTCGGCGCCGGCGCCGCCCCACGTCGAACTGGTCAAGCTCACGGGCGCGATGAGGAAGGCCGTGGAGGCGCGCCTCGCGGCGTCGCCCGCGAAGGCCGGCTCCGTCCTCGGCGACCTGCTCGGCGCCGCCGCGGCCCGGGCGCCGCGGCCGCGGAACGTGAAGCTTCGGAACGTGAAGCAGATTCAGGCGCTCGTCGCTTCCGACGCGGCGGACGCCGTGGGCAGCCTCTGGGTCTCGGCGCCGATCGACGCGCTTCCCGAGGACCTGTCGCCGCTGGAGAAACTCGAGAGCCTCTGGGCCGGCCGAAGCCGGCTCCGCGGGCTCCCGGCGTCCATCGCGGCGCTGACGCGGCTGCGGCTCCTCGCGCTGAATTTCAACCGGCTCGCGCGCGTCCCGAGCCTCGCGGCGCTCGCGCTGCTGCAGGACGTGCGCCTCGACAACAACGTCATCGAGGCCGCGCCGGCGCTCGGACCCGCGGTCGTGCGCCTCGCGCTCCAGCACAACCGGCTGCCGTCGCTGCCGACGCTCCCGCCGCGCGTCGACACGGTCACGGCCGAGTACAACCGGATTTCCCGCGCGGACGTCGGCGACGCGCCGCGCCTCCGCGTGCTCCGGCTCCAGGTCAACCGCATCGCGGCGCTGGCCCTGGGCCGCTGCCCCGCGCTCCGGGAGCTCCTCGTGGACCACAACGAGCTCGTCGAGCTCCCGGGCGACGCGCGCGTGCCGTCGCTGGCCACGCTGGACGCGAGCGACAACCGGCTCGCCGAGTTCCCGCGAAGCTTCGCCGCGAACCGCTACGACGAGCTCCGCCTCTTCGGGAACCCCTGGGCCGCGCCGCCGGCCGCCCGCGGCCGCGTCGTCTGGGCCGACGAGGCGTCGCTCGGCGCCGTCGACTTCGAGGCGACGCGCGTCGTCTCGCGCCGGCCGGACTGCCCGCATTCGAACGTGCTCCTCGCCCGCGGCGCCGCCCACGTCGTCGTCGCCTTCGCCGTCGGCGGCGGCGCGGCGCGGGACAGCCTCGGCCAGTGGGCCGGCGTCTTGCACCGCTCCGGCGTCGGCGCCGACGTGCTCTCCGTGCTCGACGTGGACTTCACCTCCTTCGAGGCGCGCAAGCCGGCGTTCGACGCGTTCCTCGCCAAGCTCCGCGGCGAGTACGAGGCCGTGTCCCTCGTCGGGAGCTCGCGGGGCGCGTTCGGCGCGCTCCGGTTCGCGCGCCGCGCCGACCGGGTCCTCGCGTTCTCGCCCATGAAGCACGGCCGCCAGCGCCAGGACGGCGTCTTCGACGCCTTCGACGCGCGTCCGGCGGGCGCCGTGTCCATCTACGTCGGCGGGCGCAACGTCGACGACTGCTACGTGGCGGAGCGCGTCGCGGCGAAGCTCGGCGCCGCGGTCCGCGTCGTCGCCGTCGACTCGGATGCGCACGGCGCCGACAAGCTCTTCGAGAGGCGGGAGCTGGACCGCGTCGTGGGCGAGGAGCTGGGGAGGGTAACTTGGTCACGTTGAAGCGGCATCGGAAGCGTGGTTGTTTCGGGGTGCCCCGTCACCTTGAAGTTCAAGGAGCCATGTGAAGCCGGCCGGAGAGCGCAACCCGAGCACATCGGCGGCCGACGTTCAGAAGCCATGCCACCAAAGCGCAAGTCGTCGTCCGCGGAAGCGACGGCGACGCGCGCCGTGCGGCGGCGCCTCGCGAAGCACCTGCGCCGGCGCGCGTCGAACCTGGCGATCTCCACGGCGCTGGACATCCAGCTGCCGCTGCTGGCGGCGTACCTGGAGCTGGACGGCAGCGCCGCACTCGCGGCGACGTCGAAGGAGCGCATCGACGCGCTCGCGAAGGCGCCCGTGCTGGCCGCGCTCGCGAAGCAGATGCCCGTGCTCGACGAGCCCGGCGTGCGCGAGCGCGTCGACGACGCCGAGTGGCCGGGCGTCGAGGTCATGCGCTTCGTCGCGGACGAGACGCAGGATGTCGGCACCCAGTGGCTCGAGGACGCGCCCCGGTGCGTCGTCGAACTGCGGCTCGCGCACGGCGCGCGCGTGCTCTCGCGCGGCCGGCTCCGGGACCTCGGGTGCAGCGACGAGGGCGAGCTCGCGGCGCGGCTCGACTTCGGGGACGCGGAGCCGTCGAGCGACGACGAGGACGACGCCTCGGCGCCGGGCGCGGACACGACCGTCGTCGGCGGCGACCCGGAGCCCGTCGTCCTCGAGGCGCTCCGCGACTACGGCGACGACGGCTCGTTCGTCGGGGACGGCGGCTTCGACAGCGACGCCGGCCACGAGGAGTTCGGCCGGTTCCTCTCCGACACCAACGACGTCGGCGTCGCGCGCGTGAGCCTCGTGCGCCACGACGGCTCGTTCCTGACGATCTTCCGGGGCAAGGTCTGCATGGTGCCCGACGTCCACTACTGGGAGAACGACGACTACGACTTCGACCGGCCCTGGGAGATCCCGCTCCACGAGTTCAAGCAGGACGACGAGCGCATCCTGTCCAACGCGGCCATCCTGACGACGGACTGCCTCAAGGAGGACGACGACGCGAACGTCTACCGCGCGAGGGGCATCGAGCTCCGCTTCCGCTGGGCCCAGGACACGTCCGACTTCATGCCCTTCGCCTACAACGACCCCTGGCGCACGAAGCAGATCCACGCCCTCGACAACTTCTACGCCCTCCTCGAGTTCGCGGGGGCGTGGAGGTAGGCCTAAACGCGATAGTGCGGCGATCGCCGATCCACAGGACATCGATTGCTTGTGGCGAGACTTGGCCGCCCTCGCATCGACAGCGCCGCGGCGCCCCCGACGCCGCGACCAAAGAAATATGGTGAAGAAGAAGGAGAAACGGGCTAGGCCGGGCCAACTTCGCAAAAAAATGCGGCGCCATCTGCAAAAGCGTGCCACGGACCGCTCCATCAGCACCGCGCTTGATACCCAATTTCCGGCGTTCGCAACACTGCTCGAGACATGCTCATTTGGTGCCCTCGCCGCGACCTCGAAGGAACACCTCGCGCGCCTCGCCTCGCCACCGGTCCTGTCCGTCGTCGCCCGCCTCGGCGCCACCGGTCCTGTCTTGTCGTCGCCGGCGGTGTTGCGGCGCATCCAGGCGGCGGCGCCCTTGCCTGGCCTGGAGGTGCTTCGAATCATCTCTGCGGATCCGGAAGCGCACGGCAAGGCGCCTGAATACAACTTCGAATGCATCGTCGACGTTCGACTGAAGAACGGCACGCGAATCCTCGAGCGCGTGCATGACTACGACGGGTTCCCGGATTGCAACGATCATCACGAGGACTATGCTACGTTTATCCTCGAATTCAAATTTCAGGACACCACCGCCATCGTCATCGAGTCGGCACGAGAGTTCAAAACCGGCGACCCCGAAGCTTATTCAGCAGGGCGCGACCGCAAGGAGTTCGATGAATTCTGCGCGCAGACTCAAGACGTCGGAGACGCTCGAGTCACCTTGGTCCGTGAAGACGGGAAGTTTCTCTCGCTGTTTCGAGGCTCCGTCGAAGCTTCGCCAACTGAAGACTGGCCGGACTGTGACGAGGACTACAATTATGACTTTCCGTACGAAATCGGGGTGCACGAGGAAGCCCGCTTTTCCGATCGTGAGCGGCTCATCTGCAAGGCGGCTGTCTGGACGGAGAACACGAAAAAGAACGGGAGATGTGTCTACCGTGCCGGTGGGCTCGAGATGCGCTTCACGAGCCGCAATGCAATGTACAACGATGGGTCTCCGGAACGGATGTTTGACTCGAAACATGACCTCCTCGGCTTATTGAATTACACCGGCTCCTGGCACTAGTAGTAAGCACACTCTGTACTCCTCTAATGCCGCCTCTAACGCGCCGCGCGCGCCCTAGGACGCCGGCTCGCACGCGCTCGCGAGCTTGGCGAGGGCGTCGATGACGTGGGCGTGGTCGTTGAGGTAGAAGAGGGCCTTGGACGCCTTCTTGCCGACCGTGACCGTGTAGGCCTGGTTGTGCTCGGCCGTCGGCGCGTCCGCGAGGTGCGAGTAGACGGAGGAGAACATCTTCTCGTCCGTCTTCGAGTCGCCGCAGGCGAAGAGGAAGTCCGGCGGCTCGTCGAGCGTGTTGAGGATGTGCTTGACGACGTTGCCCTTGTGCATGCGGCCCGGCACGACCTCGATCATGCCGTCCAGGTGCACGACCGAGACGTCGTAGGGCTTGAGCACGGCCTCGAGGTCGCCGATGAGCTGGACGGCCTGGATGCGCCCCCACTCCGGGTCCGCGCGGTAGTAGGACCAGGCGACGCCCGGGTCGCGGCTCAGCACGGACGACCCGTTCGTCCGGGCCGCGTGGCGGCGGAGGATCGGCAGCGCCGCGGCCTTCACGGCGTCCCAGTCCGTGCCGTAGTCGGCGACGCCGCAGCGGCGCGTCGTCTCGTAGGTCTTGAGCGACGGCTTCGTCGTGCACAACCCGTTCGCCGCCGCGAGGCCGAGCTTCGGGTAGCAGCCGAGGAGCGCGTGGAGCGCGTGCATCGTCGCGCCCGAGACGACGTAGACCGTCGTCCTCGGGTCGTTGGACAGGGCCTCGAGGGCCTTCGCCGCGCGCTCGTCCAGCAGATCCAGCGTCGTCACGCCGATCTGCTGCGTCTTGAGGACCTTGGTGATGTAGTCGCCCTTGGGCACCAAGGTGCCGCCGAAGTCGAGGAGCAGGAGGCGCCGCTTCGCCTTCGCGTAGGCCGACTTGAGCGCGCCGTGGTCCAGGGGCGCCACCAGATCCTCGCCGCCGTCCCCATAAACGCGCTTCTGCTGGTGCACCACGTTCATGTCGTGGAGGATCTCCTTCGTCCACTGGCCCGAGGGCCGCGACTTCACGTACGGCAAATCCCGATCGAGGCGGTCGCGCCGCTCCTGCGCGGACATGGAGAGCGCCGCGTCGAGGGCCGCCGCCACGGACGGCGGGTCGAAGGGGTTGATCGTCAGCGCGCCGCTCATGAGCGACGCCGTCGCCGAGAACTCCGACGCCAACGTGACGCCCGGGTTCTTCTCGCGGACCAAGGCGTACTCGAAGGGCGCGAGGTTGTGGCCCTCGCGGATCGCCGTGCCGATGAGCGCGTCGGCCCGGTTCCACAGCGCCAACCGCACGGGCAGCGTCAGCCGCGACGACGGCATCTCGCGGTACTCGACCGCGCCCGCGCACTGGCCGTTGATCCGCGCCGCGAGCTTCCGCAACTCGCCCGACGTCCGCGCCTCGTCCTCGACGCGCGTGCCGTCCAACAGCGCGTACTGGACGAGCACGACGCGGCCGCGCCACTGCGGGTACTCGCTGAGGAACCGCTCGAAGGCGAGGAGCTTGAGCGCGACGCCGGACAGCCGCTGGCAACTATCGACGCCCGCGAGCACGACCTTGGGCTTCTTCGCCATGAGCGGCTGCAACGTGAGGTCCAGCGCCTCGATCTCCCGCAGCGTCGCGTCGCCCCCGAGCGCGCGGAGGATCTTGCCCGGCTCGACGGAGACGTGGCGCACGACGACCATGACCGTGCGCCCCTCGTACTCGACGCCCGTGACGCCGCCCTGCACGGACTTGTGGGGCATGCCCATGAGGCGCTTGCAGGCGTTGAGGAAGTGGCGCGCGTGGTCGAAGGCGTGGAAGCCGACGACGTCCGCGCCGACCAAACCGGTGAGCAGCCGCGACCCGTGCGCGATGGAGCAGAACAATTGGGACGTCGGGAAGGGGATGTGGAGGAAGAAGACGATGCGCGCCTTGCGCTTCGTGAAGGCGTCCTGCTTGAACATGGCCGACGACGCGAGGAGCGACGGGAGCAGCATGAGGTGGTAGTCGTGGACCCAGACCGTGTCGCCCTCGTCGAGCCGCTCGAGGAGCGCGTCCCGGAAGTCCAGGTTCAGCGCCTCGTAGGCGTCCCAGCCCGCGCCGTCGGCCTCCTGGTCCCAGGTCCTCGAGGGGTTCGACGGGTCCTGCCAGCACGCGCACGACTGGTCTAAAACCGTGACGTTGTGGAACGACGGCCACAGGACTTTCTTGCAGTAGTTGAGGTAGGCGTCCTTGCTGTGGACGGAGAAGATGGGGATGCAGTGCATGGGCTCGAGGACGCGCCGGATCGCCGTCTCGTCCGCGAACGTGAGCTTCCGCCGGTTCAGACCGCCGTGGACGGTCCCGAGCCACCACGTCTCGACGGCGTCCGCGACGGATTGCCCCTCGCCCGGCGACCGGGCGATCAAGGAATCGCCCCAGCCCGCGCGCCACTGGCCCTCGTCGTCCTTCCAGACGCGCACGGGCAGGTGGTAGCAGACGATGTGGAGGCGCGATCGGCCCGCGAGCTCGCCCCGCGAGTCGTAGCGCGACGACGCGAAGGAGGACGTGCGGTCGCCGGGGCCGAAGCGCTCGAAGGTGCCGAAGACGTCGTTCAGCTCGAGCTCCGCGACGTCGGGCGTGACGACGCGGCCCGCGGCGTCCGCGAGGCTCGACTCGCCGTCGACGTCGTCGCCGGACCGCAGCTGGTACTCGTAGCAGTGGGGCACGCCGCGCGCGACGATGACGGGCTTCTTCGTGCGCCAGACGGGCCACTCGCCCGGCGACGTCACCATCTCCAGCGCCTCGCCCCGCCCCTCGAGCGCCCGGTCGCCCGACGACGACCCCGTGACGAAGACCGTCTGCCCGAGCTGCGTGCGCGCCGTCACGCGCAGGTGGAGCTTGCTGTAGAGGCCATCCACGGGCTTCTTCGGCATCGTCGCGGCCAAAGGGTCGTGCGCTGCGGGTCCTGCGGGACGCGCGCGGCGCTCTCGACCGCGCAGATGCACACGACGAGCTCCGACGAGCTCAAGCTCGAGGACGCCGGCACCCTCGTCGCGCCGGCGCCCCGGCGCAGGCGCCGTCGGACGTCGCCGCCCGACGCCCCGCGGCCCCCCAGGATTTCACGAAAGGTGATAGCGACGGCGGCGGGGCGGGGGCGAGCACACAGGAGGCGGCGGCCTCAGATCTCGACGACCTCCTTGATTCGGTGGTAGTCGCGCGAGATGCCGCGGACCTTGAAGTAGTGGTTCCGCTTGATGCGCGTCGACGCGACGATGACGACGGACACGGCGGAGACGGAGGCGACGAAGTAGACGCCGAGCGCGAGCGCCGACGTCTGCGTCAGGTTCAGCTGCTCCGAGAGGAAGACCGCGAAGGGCGCCATGTTGAAGTCGTCGTCGTCGTCGTCCAACACGCGGCACTCGTACGACGCCGCGCAGGGGTCGAGGGAATAGAGGTCGTCGGCGCCGTAGACCGAGCCGTCGACGGCGGACGTGCCCAGCTCCAGGCTCTGCGCGCCGACGCCCGCGGAGTAGATCATGAAACCGCCCGGGAACGACAGGTCGGCGCCCGGGCACGACCGCCTGGGCAGGAAAAGAGTGCGAAATTCCCAACTTTGGAGGCTCATATCTCGGTCGGTTTCCACTCGTTTCGGCTGATTTTTGGACGAGCGATCATCTCTCGGAGCGCTCTCGACGCGTGGATATTTTTTCCGGAACGATCGCGCGCGGAACACTCGTGTTGAAGCGATCTTGAATCACCCTTTTCCTGCCCTGACGACCGCGTCCAGTTGTACGCGTGGTAGCGCAGGCCGTGCTCGACGTGGGCCGTCGCCCAGGCGTCGAGGGCGACGGCGTCGTCGCTGACGCGGATGTGGTCGTCGACGTAGCGGTCCATGCCGCCGCCCGCGGCGCGGTCGTCGCCCGTTTCCAGGTTCGCCGCGTGGAGCGCCTCGACGTAGGCCTCGTAGGCGTCGAAGGTCGCCGCGCCGGAGGCCGCACGCCGCGCGAAGATCAGGGCGACGTCGTCGCCGGAGGCGGACTGGCTCAGGTCGTAGGACGCCGTCGGGAGCCGCGCGGAGAACGATTCCGTGCCGTTCGCGAGCTCCAGCGTCGGGAACATGCGCTTCGCGTACGCGTAGGCGCCGTCGACGTCCGCGACGGCGACGCGGAGCTGGACGACCATGGCCGCGGGCAGGCCGCCGGCGGAGGACGCGTAGGCCGCCGACGCGGCGGTCGCGTAGCGCGCGCGGAGCGCGGCCGCGGAATAGCCGTCGAGCGAGTGGAGCGCGGGCTGCTCGTCGGCGCCGTAGGCCGGCCATTTCCCGCTCGCGCAGGACTCGCAGTCGTCGCTCATGACCTCGAAGACGGCGAAGGCCCCCGGCGACGCGACCGTCGCGACGTAGATGGTCGCGCCGCCGTCCTCGAAGCTCCGCTGCAGGAAGTCGACGCCGTCGCGCTCGAAGGCCGCGACGTGCGAGTCGAGGGACGGCACCCAGAGGCCCGTCGCCCCCGTCATGAAGGCGCCGTAGCTGCCCAGGCGCCCGCCGAGCGACGCGGCCTTGCGCGCGCGCCACTCCGTGAGGTTCGTCGCTCCCGTCGCCGTCACGGACGACTGCGGGAAGTGGACGCCGTAAAAGTCCGGCAGCGCGTAGGCCGTGTAGCGCGTCAGGCACACGTAGTCGCCCAGGCCGCCGGCGTCCCGCGGGTCCGCCGTGTCCTCGACGCCAAAGTACTCCGTCCACCAGTCGAGGTCCGCGAGGCCGTCCGGCGACGCGAAGGTGCGCTTGCTCGTCGACCGCGTCGCGAGCGAGGCGGGGGCGCCCAGGGCGACGCCCAGCAGCGCGGCCCGCCGCATGGGGCCGCCCCCCGTCGGCGACGGCGCCGGACGACGGGGAATTAGAGTGACACCTCTACTCGTCACCAGAGGCTGCCCCGGCCCTCGCTTGGATGAGCAAGAAGCATGTTGCAGTGCGATACAATGTTGACGCGGAGAGCATGAGCGGTCTCGCATCCGCAAGCGCGACCGCTGCGAGCACAGCGGTCGCAAGGGATGCCGACGCGACCGCTGCGACCGCTGCGGGCGCGACCGCTGCCGACGAAATCACTGCGACCGCTGCGAACGCCGGCGATGCGCGCACGGTGTGCCACGGCTGCGGCGAGCGCTTCGCGTCGCGCAGCGCCGTGTTCCGCCACCTGAAGCTGACGGGCTGCGGCGGCGCCGCGCCCGAGCGCGTCGAGCGCTTCGTCGTGGTCTACGCCTACGACGGCCGCGGCTTCCACGGGTCCCAGTGGAACGGCGCGGCGAGCGAGCGACGCTTCCCGACGGCCGAGGGCCGCCTCGCGGAGGCCGTGCGGGTCGCGAGCGTCGCGCGGCACGGCGCCGAGGCCTGCGACGTCGCCGTGTCGAGCCGCGCGTCGCGCACGGACCGGGGCGTGCACGCCTACGGGAACGTGTGTTTTTTGACGTCCACGCTACGCTTCGCGGCGGGCGCGCCGCCCGCCGTCGAAGCCGTCGACGAGGCGGCTCTGCTCGCCGCGATCAACGCGGCGGCGGTCGGCGTCGCGGCCGTCCGCTGCTACGCCGTCGACGCGGCCGTCGACCTGCGCCGCGAGTGCTTCCGCCGCGACTACGCCTACTTTTTGGACTACGCGTCGATGTACACGCCCCGCGAGCGCGCGCTCGCGGCCGCCGCGGACGAGGACCGCGAGGTCTGGGTCGGGGGCCTGCCCGCGGGCAGCGGCGGCGCGCTCCGACGCCTCGTCGCCGCGGCCGCGCCGGACGCCGACGTCGCGTTCGGGGACGAGGGCGCGACGGTCTCCCTCGCGGACGCCGCGGCCGCGCGGCGCCTGCGGGCGGCGCTCGACGGCGCGACGCTGCCGGGCGCCCACGTCCCGCTCATGCCCCTGCCGGCGTCGCTCGCCGAGGCGCGCCGCGGCGTCCACGCGCGGCTGCGGCCCGCGCTCCGCGACGTGTCCTGCCCCGCGTGCAAGCCGAAGAGCTACCACAACTTCACGGACGCGCGCGTCTCAGCCGGCGACCCGCGGGCCGTTCGCTGCGTCGACCGCTTCGCCACGAAGCTCTCGTCGGCGAGCTACTGCGTCGTGGACGTCGCCGGCGCGTCGTTCCTCTACCGCCAGATTCTCTCCATGATCGGCCTCGTCGTCGAGGTCGCCGGCGAGCGCCGGCCGCTCGCCGACGTCGCGGCCGCGTTCAAGAAGGAGGCGGTCGCCGTCCCCGTCGCCGACGCGGATCGCCTCGTCCTCCGGAGCTGCGCCTTCCGCCGCGGCGACGCGCGGACCTTCGGCGCGTCCGACGCTCCGCCCGACGCGTCGGCCGCCGCGCGGCGCAGGATCGAACGCGCCGTTACGGACACGTTCCGCTAGACCCGGCGCTCCCGCTTGAGGAAGCGGCGGCTCCAGGGCCGGGACCCCTTCTTCCCGAGGGACGCGCCGTGCGGCTTCCTCGCGGGCTTCTTCGGCGTCGTCGACGGCGCCTGCGAGGGCCGCCCGAGCTCGATGTCCGTCGACGGCCGGTCCCTGGAGCGGCGGTCCGGCGACAGCGCGACGCCCGCGCGGACCGAGCAGCGCGCGACGGGGTGCGCCGCGGGCACCGTGAGCACCTTCTGCTTGTAGTAGTTCTCGTCGAGGTCCTCGGACAGGTCGTCGAAGAGCGTGCCGTCGGCCGCGGCCTCCAACGTCAAAAACTTGGACGGCTCCACGTAGCGCTTCATGAGCCGCCGGTAGTGCCAGTACGTGAGGAACGGCAGCGGCACGAGGAGCGGCTGGAGCACCGGGAGCTGCTTCGTGCCGACCATGATGGAGATGTAGCCGATCATCGTCACCTGGCCGACGACCAAGGAAAGCATGGTGAAGAAGAGCAGGTGGGGGACGAGAAAGTCGCCGCCCGACTCGTAGCGCCGCACGTAGACCAGCAGAAAGTTCCGGGAATAGAAAAGCTCCGCCAGAAAAAAGAAGAGCCAGGCGAAGGGGAGCAGCAGGGGCGCGATGGCGGCGTAGATCGACGCCACGAGCACGACCATCAAAATCTGGGGGACGACGTGGCCGTACTTGAACTCCGTGTAGCCCGGCGGCTCGCCGCGCCGCTCGTTCGACCGGTTGATGAGCGCGTTCACCCGCGACACGTCCAGAAAAATCTGGTGCGGCTTGGACAGCTCCAAGGCCGTGGACAACAAGCTCTTGACGATGAGCAGCTGGAGGAAGTAGGACCCGAGCGCGGGCAAATTCGTGCCCAAAAAGTTCAACACCCACGCGGGCCGCCGGACGAT